AGAGAGAGAGAGAGAGAGAGAGAGAGAGAGAGAGAGAGAGAGAGAGAGAGATGAGCGATACAAGTTTGGTTGTCACATACCTGTGAAGTGAGCTGTGCAGTCCCACGAGGAGGAAGCAGAAGCGGCCATAGCCGCGGAGCTCCACCATGGAGTAACGAAGGAGGGTGAGAGAGGACAGAGGGGGAAAGACCAGGCAGAGTGAGGGAAGCCATAGCCGAGAGGTGAAGAGGGAGCCGATCAAAAAAAAAAAAACGAGAAGAGGAAGACAGGCGGGGTGAAAGGAGGCGAGGAAGGTGATGGGAAGAAGAAAGTTGGCGAAGGAAGGAGAAGCCGGCAGCCATAGCTGACCGAAGGGTTGACCGGGAAGAGTTGATCGGCGGTGTAGACCGGCGTTGACTGGAGTTGACCGGGGGTTGACCAGGAGTTGACCGCAGCGTTGACCGGTGTTGACCAAGGCGTTGACCAAGACTTTGACCAAGCTGGAGCCCGTAAAATCTCGCCAAGCCTTCAGCCTATCCCTTGCCCAATGGATGTGCACACCCCCTATGGTACTTGCTGAGTCCAGTCTGTTTGTCTCTTCTTTCTGCATCGAGTCTCTTCTGTCCTAGGTGATAGTACTTTGTGGATGAAGGATAGGGCCTTGTTGACCAAACCCACACGGGCTGAGTAGGGCTAAAAGCTATGTCTGACGACTCGACTGTCCTGGAGGCCTAACCCTCCCAAGGACCGGAACTGACCGGCGGGCTGCTCAGTGTGGCGCGGTAGGCCCAAAATCCGAGTTGTGGGCTGTACAATGGGTCGTCTAAGTCTTGAGAGACCTGCTGATCGCGTTGTCCTGTCTGCGACATTAAATAATTCCTGAGGAGTTACGGAGGATCTCCTTAAATGCCTCTTGATCAGCAAAGGTCTAGTAGTGACAGCCATAGTTAGGTCTAGGCTAGAGATCCTAGTTGGCAGGATCCCTGTCCGGATTCTGTGAGTCTTAGATAGAGTCAGTAGGTTTGTCAATCAGGGGTTAGAGTCTAAGTGGTGAGGAGTGGAATCGTTCTGATTGTGCACCTATCACCATGGTAGACCTGCGTAGTGGGAAGAGCACTAGCCCCTACACCCCTGAGCAGCAAGAGAAGATGGCCGCCCTAGTGAGAGAAAACAAAGAGAGGAAGGAGCTTCAAAAACAGGCGAAGCTAAGGGCAATCGCAGAGGAGCAGGCGGCGGAGATTAAGAGATTGGAGGAGGAGATAAAGAGAGTTCAGCAGGAGGAGGAAGAGAGGAGGAAGGCTGCCGAAGAGGAAGCAGCAACAAAGGAAGAAAAAGAAAGAATGCGTATTGAAAGTAGAGAGGGGAGTAGTGGCATGAAGAGGGATGAAGACGCAGAGATGGAAAAGAAGATAAGTTACTAATTTATCATTGGGGAAAGACGAAGAGGCCGAGTCTTATGTGCGGAAAGATGAGAGAGATGCGTTAGCCAGGGAGCTAATGGCAATGGAGGACCCTCTGGAACGACGAGAAAGAGAAGAGGAGAAGAAATTAGAATGGAAATAAAGAATGAAGAGGGAGAAGAAGAGGATGACGAAGTCAATAGGCTGACCGCGGAGGTGGCAAAGGTGAAGGACTATAGGCAAGAAGTGGGGGCACAGGCAGACATTTCTGCCAAAATGTACGAAGTGTTAGAGTACTTGGAGGTGTTGAGTGCGGCTTGGATGGAGGAACGCCAAGCCAGTTGGAGCCAAGAAGTAGCCCAGAGTGCCATGCGGTCGGGGTTTAGGGACTTTGCGAGCGATATGGTTACCCACGTTGGGGGAGAAGTTACGAGGTTGAGAGACAACGTGGGGAAGTTTTGTGAGGGCACTATCGAGGGCGCCAAAGCAATAGCCGCTGTAGAGGGCGAGGCCAGATCCGGCAAGGATCCAGTCAAGCTTAAGTTTCCAGATGCGTATGGGGGAAAGAAGGAGGAGAACTTTGACAACTGGGAGGCCAGTATCAATAGTTACGTGTATCTACAGCACATCCTGTTAGAGGAACAAGTCCTCGTGGCCTTCCAGGCCTTTAAGGATGAGGCGGCTAGTTTTGCCAGGTCCCTTGCGCACGCAGCCGGTTGTGAAAACAACCTGGTTGCCTACTCTAAAGTCACCCCCCTTCCTCAGTTCTTCAAGCTCCTGAGGGAGCGATTTGCTGATCCAACGAGAGGCGTCATGGCCTCTAACAAGCTACAAACGATCCACTCGCGACAGTGCGAGAGCACTCAAGGGCGTCATGGACGACTTGGTAGCCGTCCCAGACCATGGGGTTACTGAGCCCCAATTGGTCCAATTGTTCTATCGTGCCATGCCAGAGCCCCTGAGGGGGCATTTCTTTGACAAGTCTCAACAGGCCGACATCACATATGACGTGCTGAGTAGAGAAGTGGTCCTGTTCGAGTCAAAGTCCATGCCAATTTCCACTTTCTGGCACAAGGACTTGGATAAGGGAAAGAAGTGGAAAGGGCGTACCATCCAAGGCCAAGTGAGGGCCAAGGATCATATGATCCTTACCTTAGAGTAAGGTGGATGAGGTCCCATATAGCCAGATTGAGTGGGGCCTTGAGGAGGAAGACAGTAGCGTGGGACAGGGGAGGTCCTATGTTGTTGTCGCCGCTGGAGGGAGGCCGCCAGTTAGAGGAGGAGACCAGGGCCAAAGGGGGCAGGCCATGGGAGTCCGAGGACCGGGTGCACAGGGGGTTGGCGGACAAGGGTACCGCCAAGTGGGAGGTAGGGGGTCAAGGTCCCCCGCCAAATCGCCAGGTTCTTGTCGGTCCCCACAGCGACGAGGTGGCAGGCCACCTCAAGGAGGATGGCACCCAGGCTTGCCACAGGGCAGGCCCTGGGAAGATTTGGGCTTGGACCAACGTATATGGCAGGAACGCGTAGACTTGGGTCAGTGCGTTTTTTGTGGTGACCCGGCCCATGTAATTAAATTTTGTCCCAAGTACAGACAGGCCCGATGGGCTGCTCAGCAGTCAAAAGGCAGCCGCCAGTAAAGGTCGCAACTGCCCCTACTTCAAGACCATGTGGGGAAGCGAGCGCGCGCATATAGGAAACTCCCAAACCACATGAGCCTATGGCAGAGGTTGCAGGCCCGAGCTTAGCTAGCTGTCCAGAGACTGCGTGTGTTAGCGTCTCTCTAGGCACGTCCCTCACGGGTGTGGCAGAGGAACTGAAGAAGAGGATGCCAGTCTGGGCCAAAATGAAGAAGGAGAGTAAGGGACAACTAATCTTGGTAGATGTAGAGGTGTTTAGAAGCAGAGTAGGGGCTCTTATAAACTCAAGATCCCGCAGTTACATTAGCCGCAGGGCGCTGAAGAAGCTGAAGTTAGGATTGAAAGTCCAAAAGTTAGCAGACCCCATAGTCAGTGTCCTCGCAGACAACCGCACTATGCGTGTTAAGGACTATGTAGAGGGAATCCAGGCGTACTTTCGCCTAGAGAAAGATGGGAAGGTGGAGAAAGTTCTTCACTCCCTGACCCTCCTCGTACAGGATAACCTTCCTTTCGACGTAGTGTTAGGAATGGATTGGGGAGAGGCCGTCGGGGCCACACTCCACTTGAGAGAGCATGAGTGTAGGCTCCCTAGTCCATCAGGCGAAGTTAAAACTGCCCGTCTGTTTCATGTGTCAGGTGTAGACAACACCTTGGCAGATTGTTGTCTCAGTGCTCCCGCAGTCGCGCGACCAGTGAAGAAGGAACAGTTAGAAAACCAAGTCTTTGTAATCTATGTTAGACCTGTCAATGAGGCCAAGGAAGAGGATAGTTCGACAGCTCCAACCATTGCCAAGTTGCTGGAGGAGTTCAAGGACTTGAGTCGCCGACAGGAGTAGTGTCGTGACCCATCCAGCACAAGATAGAGATAGAACTTGGCAGTAGAACTCCGAAGGGAGCAGTCTACAGGATGTCCCCTAGAGAGTTTGAGGAACTACGCAAGCAGTTAGACGAGCTCCTCGAGAAAGGTTGGATCAGGCCCAGTTGCTCCCGCAATCGCGCGACTAGTGAAGAAGGAGCAGTTAGAAGACCAGGTCTTTGTAGTCTATGTTAGACCTGTCAATGAGGCCAAGGAAGAGGATAGTTCCACAGATCCAACCATTGCCAAGCTGCTGGAGGAGTTCAAAGACTTAACTGAGTCGCCGACAGGAGTAGTATCGCGACCAATCGAGCACAGGATAGAGATAGAACCTGGCAGTAGAACTCCTAAGGGAGCAGTCTACAGGATGTCCCCTAGACAGTTGGAGGAGCTACGCAAGGAGTTAGACGAGCTCCTCGAGAAAGGTTGGATCAGGCCCAGTTCGTCTCCTTTTGGAGCACCTATCCTGTTTGTCCCCAAGAAGGAGAGTTTCGCATGTATAGACTATAGGGGTTTGAATACGATTACTATAAAGAATGCTGAATAGACGATCTTTTAGATCGGGTGCAGGGTTGTAAGTATTTCTCTAAGATAGATTTGAAGTTCGGATACCATCAGATACAAGTCCACCCTGACGATCAGTACAAGACTACGTTCCGGACTAGATATGGGCACTATGAGTTTATAGTAATGCCCTTTGGACTGACCAACGTGCCAGCTACATTTCAGCGTTGTATGAACGATCTTTTTAGACCGTGGTTAGATGGATTTGTTGTAGTTTATTTAGATGATATTTTAGTTTTCAGCAAGACCCTCCAAGAGCATCAGGGTCATTTGAGGCAGGTCTTGGAGAAGCTTAGAGAGGCTAACTTCAAGATCAACGCAAAGAAGTGTGAGTGGGCCAAGAGGCAAGTCTTGTACTTGGGCCACATGTTAAACGGAGATGGCATTAAACTAGAGGACAGTAAGATAGCAACAATTAAAGATTGGTCGATGCCCTGCACATTGACAGAGTTGCGGTCGTTCTTAGGCCTAGCCAATTACTACAGGAAGTTCATGAGGAACTTCTCCACTCTCGCCGCTCCCTTGCGCAGATTGCTTAAGAAAGAGGCAATTTGGCAATGGGACAAAGATTGTACGTCTACGCTAAAGAGATTGAAGCGCGCGTTAATAGAATACCCTGTCCTCAAGGTAGCTGATCCGTCCTTGCCATTTGCCGTCACCACGGACGCGAGTCAATATGGTATAGGTGCCGTGTTGCAGCAAGACGACGGCAATGGCTATAGACCCGTAAAGTTCATGTCCGCGAGGATGCCCTCAAAGAAGGTCGCGACCTCCACGTACGAGAGGGAACTCTACGCTCTCAGGCAAGCTCTAGAGCACTGGAAGCATTACCTGCTTGGTAGGCACTTCAAAGTGTACTCGGACCACGAAACGCTTAGATGGTTAAAGACCCATGCCAAAATGACAACTAAGTTGACTAGGTGGGCCGCTGAAATAGATCAGTATGACTTTGAGCTCAAACCGGTTGAAGGCAAGTACAATGCAGATGCGGATGCTCTGAGTAGGAGGTCAGACTACTTTGGAGCCATAGTTCACTATCTGGATATATGGAGAGACCTACAAGAGAAAGTTAGGAAGGCATATGCGGAGGACCCTATCTATAGTGACCTCCTCAAGAGAGTCAAAGAGGCCCCATAGAGTTAACCAGATTACCGCACTACAGAAGGTCTACTATTCGAGAAGACTAATGTATTCGACCGCCTGGTGCGTTCCCAACAGCGAAGAGATTCGTAGTTTGATTCTAGGGGAATGCCACAATACTGAGGGACATTTTGGTTGGCAGAAGACCTTAGCCAATCTGATCCGTGCGTATACTTGGCCAGGAATGAAAGCTGACTGCATAGAGTATCTTCGCAGTTGCAAAGTTTGCCAGCGAAACAAGCCCACTACGCGTGCCCCTCTAGGTCTTCTCAGACCCTTGCCTATTCCAAACCAGCCAGGAGATAGTCTCCCTTGATTTCATGGATGTCGGTGACAAGAGTAGACATGGCCAGAGCCAAGTCATGGTCATAGTTGACCGATTTAGCAAGTATGTTGTCTTTGTTCCTTTGCCTGCAGAGACACGCACCGACTTAGTTATACAAAAGTTCTTTGATTTTTGGGTTAGTGAGAATGGAGTCCCGTTGTCAATAGTCAGCGATAGAGATAGTCGCTTCACCAGCCAGAACTGGCAAGAACTCGTGAGAGTTTACGAATCTAAGTTGTTGATGTCGTCCGGCCGCCATCCAGAGACCAACGGTCAGACCGAGCAAATGAACAAGATCTTACAGCAAGTTTTGCGCATGTACATTACACCCGATCAGATCAACTGGGACAAGATGTTACCTAAGGTAGCTAGTGCGTACAACAACAGCGTGCATCTGTCCACCTGTCGCACTCCCAATGAGTTACACAAGTCCTTTAGACCGCGCAGGCCATTCAAAGCCAATAAGCAATACATCACGAGAAAGAGCTAGCAACTGTTGTTGAAAACCTCAGGAAGGCCCAGCACCGGATGATAGAACAGGCCAATAAGCACCGTCGCCCATCACAATTTCAGGTAGGCGACCTGGTCTGGGTTAAGGCTAAAGAGTTTGCACCTGAGGAAAACATCTCGCAAAAATTACTGCCTACATATAGAGGACCGTGGTCGGTTCTAGAAGTCAAAGGCGGAGAAGATGGACCGTCCTACACGATAGAGATACCTTTGCACCTCCTCACTTACCCTGTATTTCACGTATCCAAGTTGTTGCCCTGCGTCACAAGCCAACAGTTCCCATCTAGACGATCCATGATTCCTCCGAACATGGATGGGAGATACGACATTGAGGGCATTGTAGATGAGGATGTGTTCAGATCAGGAGCTAGAGGTCATCCGCAGAGACAGTACAAGCTCCGATTTGCCTATCAGGAACCGAAATACGACCACTGGTTTACAAGAACAAAACTTTTAGAAACAGCTCCCGACATAGTCAAGGCCTATGAACGTGATAAGAAGGGTAAAGGTCCTGCCTTGGACTGAAATATTCTCGGAGGACCTCGAATTTAGGACGGCGGGAGTGAAGCGGTTTTCACCTCTTTGCAATAGCAGTTGCAGATCCCAGGGCTCAATCCCTAGACCTCAACCTACCCATGTATAGTACCTGTGTATACCCCGAGAGTTGAACCTGCGACCTGTGTATTCGTAAACCGTTGCTAGGTTGTCATAGGTCCGTAGGTAGTAGGGGTTCGATCTGTAGATCTGTAGGATAGAAGTCTTAGTCAGTTCCAGAAGTCTTAGTTGTAGTCCTTCTAGAAGGTCAGCCAGAGGGCAAGTGGTCAAGTGGCGAGTCAAGTGGTGGACTAAGACTGCAGTGCGATTGCAGACCGACCCCGATAGGATAGCAGTGAGTCCCCAATCAGTCAGCGGTAAGGTCCAGTCAGTCCTAGTCCAGTCCAGCAAGTACCACGAGGGACTGTGAGCACCATGGGCCGATGGGCAGACCACCAAGTTTCAAAAGTATAAATCAAGAGGCAGCTCCCATTTATTCATTCCTGCGTGAGCTATGCGGAATCGCTGTCACAGCGACTTGTGCAAGGAGGTCTGCAGTATGCCCGAAGGACGAAATGGGCGAGAGAGAAGGGCGTAACATAGCGATAGGGTAGCGGCGGCCACTGCCGCCATAGCTGTAGATAAGGTTCAGTGTGTGTGTGTGTGTGTGTGTGTGTGTGTGTGTGTGTGTGTGTGTGTGTGTGTTCGAAGAGTTGCGTGTGGGATATCCAAGGTGATCCGGTGTATGCGAACAGAGAGTTGTTTGGGCGCTGAGACGCCATAGCCATCGAAAGTGAACTCTTATTTGGGTTGTCATATCTCTAGGTTTTGAGTGTGCGCATGTCGCCAGTTTGCTGCGCTACTGTTTGCATGCACGTAAAGTGTGGATGAAAACGAGTCTGATTGCAGCCATAGTGTAGGTCTAGGCTAGAGACCCTAGTTGGCAGGATCCCTGTCCGGATTCTGTGAGTCCTTAGATTGAGTCAATAGGTTTGTCAGTCAGGGGTTAGAGTCTACGTGGTGAGGTTTGGAACCGTTGACTCGGTTGTGCACTAATCACCATGGTTGAGACCCGTAGTGGGACGAGTACTAGCCCCTACACCCCTGAGCAGCAAGAACAGATGACCGCCTTAGTGAGAGACAAGAGGGAGAGAAAGGAGCTCCTGAAACAAGCGAAGCTAAAGGCAATCGCAGAGGAGTAGGAGGCGAAGATGAAGAAATTGGAGGAGGAGATAAAGAGAGTTCAACAGGAGGAAGAGAGGAGAAAGGCTGTTGAAGAGGAAGCAGCAGCAGAGGAAGAAAAAAAGAGAAAACGTATTGAAGAGAGAGGAGAGAGTAGTGGCATGAAGAAGAGCGAAGACGCAAAAATGGAGAAGAAGATCAGCGAGTGGATCACTAACTTATCATTGGGAGAAGATTATAAAGCACAGTTTTATGTGCCACAAGATGAGAGGGATGCATTGGCCGGTAAGTTGGCAGCAATTCAGGACCCCCTGGAGAGGCAAGAAAGGGAGGAGGAGAAGAAGTTGGAATGGAAACTGAGGATGAAGAGAGGAAAGGGAGGAGGAGAAGAAGTTGGAATGAAAACTGAGGATGAAGAGAGAAAAGAAAAGGAGGGATGAAGTTAACAGGTTGACCGTAGAAGTGGCAAAAGTCAGAGACTGCAGGCAGGAGGTGCAAGCACAGGCAAACATGTCTGCCAAAATGGATAAAATGCTGGGTTACTTGGAAGTTTTGAGTGCACTCTGGACGGAGGAGCGCCAGGCCAATAGGAGCCAAGAAGTAGCGTTGAGTGCCATACGGTCTGGGTTTAGAGAATTCGCGCGCAAGATGGTCACCCACGTTGGAGGAGAAGTTAGGAGATTGAGAGATAATGTGGGGAAGTTTTGTGAGGGCGCTATCGAGAGCGCCAAAGCAGTTGCCGTTGTAGAGAGCGAGGCGAGACCCCGCAAGGACGCAGTCAAACTTAAGTTCCCAGATGCATATGGAGGGAAGAAGGAAGAAAATTTCGATAATTGGGAGGCTAGTGTGAATAGCTACGTGTATCTACAACACATACTGACTGAAGAGCTAGTCCTCATAGCCTTCCAGGCCCTTAAGGATGAGGCGGCTAGCTTTGCCAGGTCCCTCGCGCGCGCAGCCGATTGTGAAAACAACCTGGTTGCATACTCTAAAATCACCCCCCTTCCTCAATTCTTCAAGCTCCTGAGGGAGCGCTTTGCTGATCCAACAAGAGGCGTTAGAGCCTCTGACAAGTTGCGGACGATCCACTCGCGACAATGGAGTGCAAGAGCAATCAAATCATGGACGACTTGGTAGCCGTCCCAGATCATGGGGTCACTGGGACCCAATTGGTCCAATTATTTTATTGTGCCATGCCAGAGCCCCTGCGTGGGCACTTCTTTGACAAGTCTCAACAGGTTGGCACCACGTATTATGTGTTGAGTAGAGAAGTCGTCCTGTTCGAGTCCAAGTCCATGCCAGTGTCCACTTTCTGGCATAAGGACTTAGATAAGGAGAAGACGTGGAAAGGCCGTACCATCTCAGGCCAAGTGAGGGCCAAGGATCATATGATCCTTACCTTAGAGGAGGGTGGCACAGACGAGGTCCCATATAGTCAGATTGAGTGGGGCCTCCCGGATGAGGACAGTAGTGTGGGGCAAGGGAGGTCCAATGTTGCTGTCGCAGCTGGAGGGAGGCCGCAAGGTAGAGGAGGAGGCCAGGGCCAAAAGGGCCAGGCCACGAGAGGCCGAGGACCGGGCGCACAGGGGGTTGGCGGGCAAGGGAACCGCCAAGTGGGAGGTAGGGGGTCAAGGTCCCCCGCCGAATCGTCAGGGTCCCAGTCGGTCCCCGCCGCGACGAGGTGGAAGGCCACCTTAAGGAGGATGGCACCCACGCTTGCCACAGGGTAGGCCTTGGGAAGGTTTGGGCTTGGACCAGCGCATATGGTAGGAACACGCAGACTTGGGTCAGTGCGTGTTTTGTGGTGACCCGGCCCACGTTATTGAATTTTGTCCTAAGTATAGACAAGCGCGATGGGCTGCTCAGCAGTCAAAAGGCAGGCGCCAGTAGGGGTCTCAACTGTCCTAAGTATAGACGGGGTCCCACTCCCCCTTGTCCTGCTCCCCCTCCCCCTCCTCCCCCAACAGCGCCATTTGGTAGGCCATGTTATAACTATGGGGAGTATGGGCATTTCGGACGAGATTGCCCGCATAAACAAAATGCCAAGTACTGGCAAGGTCAAGCTCGCGTAGGCAATGGATCAGCGAGCTACGGACAACGTACCTACAACCAGCCAAGTGGTGAAGGCGATGATCGGATGAACAGGCTGCAAATGTTTGTCGAAAACCAACAGCAGGAGGCACGAAGAAGAGAGAGGAGCAAGAGAAGAAACGGCAAGATGAAGTGCAACAGAGGTTAGAAGAAGCAATGCAGAGGAAGGAAGCGGAAAAACGGAGAGCACAGGCAATTATGGAGGCAACGGCAGCGCAAGGGTTCACCAAACTGATGACAGCGCTAGAGGAGAAGATCAAAGACCATGTTCACATGACGCTCACTGCATTAGAAGAGAAGAACGCAAGATTGCATGAGAGCCTGATGAGGTTCCTAAACGCACCGAGGGACTTACCAAGAAGGCCTAGAGGTGGACCATATACAGGCCCAAAAAGGAGGCTCAATCCTGACGATCATGAGCGGGAAGCTGATGTCACGGAGAGGAGTGCGGCCACACCTATTACCAAGGATGGTAATGTCGAGGAAAGGGAAGGAAACAATAGCGGCAGCTACGATGTAGAAAGGAGCTGTTGCCTCTTGCTCCAAGGAGGGAGTGATCGA